ACGGATGTTCTCATGTTTCACTGCTGGCTGAGGCAGTAAAAGCTCTCCTTCGAAGTTCCGGTCTTCTCAGTGCTTTAGGAGTGGTTGGGCTCACGTCATTCTTTGGGATTTGTGCGCTCGTTCTCAAGTCGCTTATATTCGTTGATTGTACCCGTTCAGAAACAATACAAACCAATTGAGTTGTTCGGCTACAACTTCCTTTCGGTGCCTATCTGCCATGCCACCCGAAGGAAGCACAAAGACTAGGATACTGCCAGGTTACCGAAGCCTAGACAGGAGAAGTCGAGATGCAGAGGCCGGGTTCGAACCACGGACATCAATCAATCTGGGCTCTAACCACTGAGCCATCTCGCCGCCAACCGATTGCATAGAAGGGTTATAACCCTGAATTTCGACAAACGTGTGCATCAGGTTACAGTGAGGTCTTTTTTGTTGTATGGCTGTGAGACTTGGCCTGTTCAAACGAATGCCCAACAAAGTAACTAGGGAGCGAGTGTTGGTTTGTGCAACAGAGACTACCAAAGTAAAATGTGACCAGCATCGTCATTAACAGCATGAAATCAGTGTTCAACACTAATGCTTCGCTATCGTATTTTAAATGTAAAGCTTAAAATGTATCGAGCATGCCAATCTATCTATCGTTTGCAGAAGAGAGTGCTCTTCTCCATGCCCAATTCAGAGTGGCAGAAGCAGAAAGCTGACAAACCTTTGATCTGGGGTATGAAAGTGTGCTGTTGGGAGCGAAATGGCTCAGTCGTTAGAGTGCGAATTAACTGACCGGGAGGCCCGTGGTTCGAACCCGACCTCCGCATCTCGACTTCCGCTGTCTAGGCTTGTGCGCCGTAACAGTAACTGAAACCCTCATGCTTCCTACAGTTAGCATGGCAGTTAGGCACCGAAAGGGTGATAACGCTGAACGGTTTGTCATACGAACCGCAGGGTCAGTTTAATTACCACGAATGTATCTTGAATCCTTGATTCAGAGACAATACACACCCGGAGAAAGCAAGTCCAACGTACAAGAGCAGTCTGTGACCCGGCTTGCTTAAGATAGTAAACAATGGCTACCAGATAAACAGTGTCGGGCATAAAGAATAACTTCAAAGTGTCTATGGCCGAGACGGGCGAGTCAACCGTAGCTATTTCAGCTACAACAATCGGCGGCGAACGCATCCGTCAGTCTCTAGGAATCGACCTACGGAGATATCGCTAGCAGCGAGTCAGGATGGAAAGAACCGGCATGTGGAAAAAGGGTGGAGGCGTCAGCAGTAGCCTGTATTCACCTCCATCACCATCATCATCATCATCATCA